CCACTCAGTGGCTTGCTCAGTTGGGATAAATTCACCTTCATTATCTGTATACCATGTTTCTATTTCTGTCAAGCTGCTTTGAGACAATGTCTATTGTAAAAAATCGCTATACAAATACAATTGAATTGAACTGAATTGAATAGTCCACTGTGGCTTCCATGCACTTCCTTCACTTGTGATCAGATAAATAAATTAATGTAGTAATTTCTATCAGGGTCAATGGTCAATAAAACATGCTTATTGACAGGATGTGGTATTTATGAACTGAACTTCACTACAGACACTTCAGACATGCCAATCAGCCTACCATGCATGAGTTTGGTCTGGGGGAGGAAACCGGAGTACCCGGAGGAAACCCCCGCAGCACGGGGAGAACTCCGCACACACATGGCCCTGGCAGGACTCGAAACCCGGACATGTGAGGCGAAAGTGCTAACCACTAAGTCACCATGCTCCCTGAATTAAGAAAATATTAGTCATATCTGTTTCTAACAATCAAGCACATAATAACAGCTGACAGAAAAATAAAACATTAAGGTGTTAGGCCCCCAGAAACCAACAGAACAGCTTCCTTGAATCTTGGATTAGATTCCACAAGTCTCTGGAACAGTACTGGAGGGATGAAAACTCTCCTTCTAAAAATCTCCTTAACTTGTTGCTTTGATGTTGGTGGTGGAGAGCAATGTCTAACAGGCCAGCCCAAAATTTTGATATGTGATTAACTGGGTTGAGCTTTGGTGACTGCAAAGGCCTTAGCATATAATTTACATAATTTTCATTCTTATCAGACCATTTAATGAGCCCTAATATACTGTGGATGGGGACATTGTCATCTTGGTAGAAACCACTCCCATCAGGATAGAAAAGTTTTATCATAGGATACAGGTTATCAGTCAGAATAACTTTATTTTTATTTCCTGTTGTTCCTTCCCTTTAAGGAGTAAAATGTACTCAAATCATGCCAGCAGTAGCATGTAAGTTTTTTGGGTTTTTAAAGTATGTATAACATGGGATTATGCAGCCATCTTGATGCTGTAGAGACTGCGCAGCCTGGCAGTGGATATACTGATCCCCATGAGTGAGTAAGAGAATGTAATACACTAGCGTCTGATTGATAATGGACAATGGAGTATGCTCAGTCTGCCCAAAAATCCATTGCAAGCTATTTTTAAGCAATGGAAATGGCAAAGCATTTGATTTGAGATGACATTTTTGAGATGTAAGAATTTGTATTATATTTCCATATGTTTTCACGATATTTAATTTTTTTATTACACAGCAAAATAAACATAACTTAGTATTTAAACTGCATTGTTTACAATTCATTTCAAAAAGCTACTTGATGGTGCTCCAGTGAGACAGGACAAACCATTGCTACCAGATGATTTGTCAATACGGTATTGACATTGATAGCGTAGCTATAGCAAACTTCTCAAGGTTGATGCAGTAATAATTTGAGTTTGTGTATGTGTGTGTGTGTGTGTGTGTGTGTGGCACCACACTTTGCTCAGAAAGCATGCTTATTGTCATCGACTCCATGACAACCTTCTCTAGGCACTCAGAAGATGGGTGGGGGAGGTGTATGGGGATTAGTTACAAACAGATGGTATTACCACAGAACACGCCAGCCTAAGTTCCTTCATTTCACTGTGATGGCCCGAATGAAGGAATGTATGGATGTAGATGCATTCCATATTCTTGATCATATTTCACACTACACTTGTTCCCCCCATCCAGCTCAATCAAACCCCTTCAGATGATTCAGAATGCAATAGCATGCTTTGTTTTCAACCAGCCCAAATGGACCCATGTTACACCCCTCTTCGTCTCCCTTCACTGGCTTTCTGTAGCTGCCCCAATCAAATTCAAGGCCTTGATGCTCACGTACAAGACCTCATCTGGGACAGCACCCCCTACCTAAACACTCTCCGTGAGGTTTATGTTCACTGAGGCCTGGAAGTACCTATTCAGCAAAGCATGATGTCCCATTCCAAAAAATTCCCTCGGTGGTGGAATGAACTTCCAATCTCAATCCAGACATAAGATACACCACTATCTTCAAAAAATGACTAAAGACCCACCTCTTCTGTGAACACTTAATTAACCCCTACTGCTTGTCCTCTGCCCCCCCCCCCTTAAAAATAAAAAAGAAATCTGCACTTAAACTGGCTTTTACTCCACTACTCTTTGTACTTTGCTCCTCTAGAACGCAATTAAAAACCTTGTATGTATAGTTCTCTGCTTGATATATCGTTTTGCTTGTATTTTCTCATTTGTAAGTCACTTTGGATATAAGCATCTGCTAAATCAATAAATGCATTAATATTTATTATGCACCAGTCTTTTTTTGTTGTTGTTGTTGTTTTCTGTATATTACACATGATCTTTTGAAGATGTAGTATAACTTTTTAATCTTTTAAAATGCAATCTGAAATTTACAAACTAGACATCCTATTACCTTCAAATTTTTTTGGTTGGCTGTGGCTCAGGTGGTAGTCGCAGGTTGCCCACCAATCATAAGGTTGGCGGTTCAATCACTGGCCCACATGCCAAAGCATCTTTGGGCAAGATAATGAGCTCCAAGTTGCTCCCGATGCCAGGCTAGTACCTTGCATGATGTGTGGGTGTGTGTGTGAAGGGGTGAATGAGAAACAGTATAACATGCTTCATAGAACTACTAAGGTTAAAAGGTGTTATATAAGTGCAGACCATTTACCATTTATTCTTCTGCTTTGTTGTTTAATTTTCACTGTCAGTGACCCCAATCTCCAACATCTCAGAAAAGAACACAGACCAGAACTACATAAGTTGAGTTTTGTAATGTACATGAATGCCTTAACCGAGTCATATCCACCTTGAATCCACCTCATATCCATCTATTTTGAAATGCAGAAGTAAGTAATAGCTCACATTTTCTCTTTTTGCACAAGATGTCCGGTTCAATTCCACACTTGATCGTAAAAGTAATATAGTAACAAAAGCATTGTTATTGTTATTGAGTTATAGTAATGAGTTACTGTTATTTGTAACAGTAACTCATTATTTGTAACAGTAACTCAAGGAGACTTAAGTCACTCAGATTTTCTTAATAGAAAGTGTTATTTAACTACAACTTTCCTTTAAGTTATTTAACTGTTGACTCCTAAGTACATTTCCAAGTATTTAAAAATGTTTACTTCATTAAAAATACAAAAAAAAAATTATTATTATTTATTTATTTTATTTTTTTTGCATTTTGTTAGCTGTTAATTTGGAACTATGAGCATAGCTATTTGACTATGCAATCTACTGTTATTACAAGACATAGCTAATGTTAGCTCATTAACTAGCCAGTTTAGTGGTTGTATCAAAGAACAAACAACTCATGAAATCTTAAATATTAATACTTGTCTACAACAGCTACAGTTTAGGGACACTGGACACCACTGTGCTATCAAACAAGTAGCTAATCTCAGTAACAATTTACTTTGTTCACACACTGTTTAACTTATCTTTATGTGTTAATCCTCCTGACAAGCCACCACCTCTGAGTTTACACTGGAGCATTACAGCACAAAAACTCTAGATACAGGTGCTCCTCCGTAGGTCTCTCCAAAAAGTGAAAAATATGCAAACGTATGCTTGCTTCTGTGGTTTATTTAGATTGAAAGTGTTATTCAAATCTGGAATGCTTCTTCATTTTAGCAGGTGGAGGTGATCCACCTTCAACTCTGGTGCATGGTTTATGGTCAAAACACCTACTGAATTTTTTTGTTTGTGCCAGTTATTTTAGCAAACCCTAACTGCACAAACAATATTAGTTTTCTGTGAATCCACAATTATTACTGTCCAATATAACATGTTAAATGGCAGTGTTGATAGATGATGTGATGAGTATCAGCATGCCGGCAACTTTCCAAAATAAAGAGTTAATCAGAACACTGAAAATAAGGTACATATTATGCCATATATCAGATAGCTTCTGTTCCAGTTACTCCATAACAAGGATGTGTTGGAAAGAACAAATGGCACAATCATTTGAAAGAGTGAACACAGACTCCCCACAGAAACCTACTCTAGCCACCTGAGAGCATTTACCAGCTGTCTGTAATTACTCATCACTTGCCTGTTATATTGACATGCATTAAGCACTGGTGTGATTAAATATTCAACACCGAGACGCGTGAGATAAGAGATTCATGAAGAGGTCCTGCCGACCTCTTACATTCACTGACTGTCTTCATTGTTCTGCTATACTGAGTGAGGACCTAAGAGTGTGTGCAGCTGAGCTGGTTTTGTGTCTTCTCTAGCTATAGAGAGACCCCATGTGGTGAACATGATCTGCACTTCTATGGTGAGTTGAGAGTTTAACTGCCCTGAGGAATAAAATATATATATAGGTTTGCCACAAACAGTTGAATTGTGTTTGTAGACATTTTCTATATACTCCATATATTTCTATATATTCCATATCATTATCACCTTTTGTAATTCATCTTAATCTCAGTGACTCTCATTACCACTGCTTTTTGACATGGCTGGTGACGGCAGATTGACCTGCCATAAAGTGAGGCTGTGATGACTGAAGAAGGTTCTGTCAACTGAATTGCTGTGATTGCATTGCTGGAAATCTGTCTCTTTGGCAATTGCATTTGATTGACTGGCAGACATATGCCCTGCCACCAATCATCTCTTCATAACATGACGCATGGCTTTGATGAACCTTTAGCATTTTTTCACTTGGCTACTGACTGCAGATGTATGAACAATATCCATCCATCCATCTTCTATACCACTTATCCTTTTCAGAGTCACGGGGAGCCTGGAGCGGGGTACACCCTGGACAGGGTGCCAATCCATTGCAGGGCACAATCACATACACACACACACCCATTCATACACTACGGACACTTTAGCCATGCCAGTCAGCCTACCATGCATGTCTTTGGACTTGGGGAGGAAACTGGAGTACTTAAAGGAAACCCCCGCAGCACAGGGAGAAGATGCAAACTCCGCACACAGGGCGACGGTGGGAATCGAACCCCCGACCCTGGAGGTGTGAGGCGAACATGCTAACCACTACCTTACTCTACCTTATAGTGGTTTATTAATGTGCCTTCATTAGCTGGGAGATAACCTGAAGACCAAGTCTGGGGTTTGGAGCAGACAGCTGGATTCACCTTAGTTGTGAGGGGCTGTGTGTGTGTGTGTGTGTGTGTGTCTGTGTGTGTGTGTGTGATGTGTGTGTGTGTGTGTGTGTGTGTGTGTGTTGACAGCTGGCCAGGTTCAGGTTGGTCTAAAACCATGTGCACCCTGTCAGGCCAGCAACACTAGCTCCTTTAGGATTGATGAATTGCCTGCTGCCTCGATTAAACCTGTCGTCACTTCTTGATAAAAGCGACCAAAAAAGCAAACCAACATGAAAAGCCCAGCCTAAGGAAGGAACATCAGTGTGACTCTATCATAGTGGAAAGCACAGACATGTTGACATTTATTACCAGAATATTAAAAACTAATTCACATTGATTTTGCAACCTTCACTCTCTTTAGAGGCTTGGCTCATTTCAGGAAAATGGGGTTTGCACTACATCTACAGCCTCTTTTGTTTGTGTTCTCTGGTCACATATCTGGACAGGCTTATCTGCCAACCATTTTGTAGGGAATGTTGATGGATATATCAATTAACACTTTTTTTGCATTGTTTAGCATTTTGCTTACATAAATAAATAAATAAAATTATACATATATATATATATATATATATATATATATATATATATATATATATATATACATATATATATATATATATAAAAAAAAGAGAGAGAGAGATAGATAGATAGATAGATAGATAGATAGATAGATATATATATATATATATATATATATATATATATATATATATATATATATATTGAAATTAAATTTTAACATGTTGCATTGTAGATTTTCCATCTGAATACATTAAATACAAGTCACAGACAATACAAGTCACTGCAGTAACAATAACTATAATAGGGAAGACATGTCAATTTCATTACATCTTACCTAGCCTGATACAGAACACAATTATTTCCTAATTTATCCCTTAAATTTAATGCATTAAAAGTAGTTTCATTGTTCGAGAGGAAGGTCAGTTCATTCAAGATTGAGAGAGAGATGGTAGGACATGATCAAAATGATCTTGAGTTTGCAAAATGTCAAGTTAAAAAAGGTGACAATAACTTTCGATTGCACAAACCAATATTAGACTCTTTATTTAAGTATGTGCATCTGCCTTTCTTTTTTTTGCTTTGGAAAATGCAACAAAGCTTTCCAATTAAAGCAACACTTTATGAGATTTAATAATACCCTCATAATATTAAAGCTTATGAAATGACAGGTGAGCTGGTATATGAATAAAACATAAAGGTTCATAATAAGATACAGAAAAAAGGGAACAGAAACTGTCAGGGGGTGGCTTTTTAAATGCTTGATGCAATTTGCATATATTAATCTCTTTTTTCAGCCTTATCGAACATTCAGGCATATTTAAAATAGTGATGTTAGGCTGCGGTATGCTTCCACAGATTTATTGCTTGCATAATTTGGGATCTTTCATAAGCCAATATGAATGATCCTCTGAGTTCTGTGGAATTCTGTTAATTGTTCCAGATGGTGTGCACTGATTATGCAAAATGACACCCTCCTTTTTCCCCCTCCTATCTCTGAATTCTCCCATTTTGATTGACTACCACAAAAAAATAAAAGATTATTTTTAGGAAGAATTTTCATCAGGTGTCAAACAAAAGTTTCATCTCCTTGTACATAATGGTGAAGCTTACTTGGCAAAGATCATATTATTTTTATGACAATAATCTTCCAATGCCTTTTAGCCTAAGCGATTTCTGCTGTTCATACTATACAATACCACAACATTTGAGACTGAATGAGAAAACACACACACACACACACACACACACACACACACACACACACACACACACACTCACACACACTCACTGGCAAAATCATCCACTAAGTACTGGCTATCATTGGCTCACTGGTGATAGTCTTAAATTAAAACCTTTGCAGTCAGCCTCTACTTTTTTCTCCTCCACCCTTGATTCTGTCAAGTATCAGCTAAAGCATTCTAAATTAATTGCCTATGTATATTTGATGGTAGTGGGAACATGTATAACTGAAATTTACAGCTGTGTTTTACTTTAAAAGTGTATATGACTTTATCCATGCATTTTGGTGTAAAAAACCAAAAAAAAAAAAAAACTGCTCTGAACATATAAAATGATACAAGGACTTTAGGTTGCTGACAGTGCATGAAAGACTGCATACAGTGTATTTTCCAGAAAAGCCATTAATGATTTATTCTCATGGTCAGTGCAAAGGAAGCCAGAGGAGAATGCAGAAGAGCTTAAAAAGTTTTGTGTTCTTTGAATGTCCCTGTTAGCAAAAGTTCTTAAAGCTATGTGTGTTATCATTACACTATATATTATTAAATTACATAAACACAGGATCTTATTCTGGGATGGTAGATGTGTGAAATGATATAGGCTACAGGAGGTATATATATATATATATATATATATATATATATATATATATATATATATATATATATATATATATATATATATATATATATATATATATATATATAATGTCACACTAAAGTGTTTCGAACATCAAACCAATTTAAACAATAGTCAAGGACAACACAAGTAAACACAAAATGCAATTTGTAAATGAAGGTGTTTATTATTAAAGGTGAAAAAATCCAAACCATCATGGCCCTGTGTGAAAAAGTGATTGCCCCCTAAACCTAATAACTGGTTGGGCCACCCTTAGCAGCAACAACTGCAACCAAGCGTTTGCGATAACATGCAATGAGGCTTTTACAGCGTCCTGGAGGAATTTTGGCCCACTCATCTTTGCAGAATTGTCCTAATTCAGTTACATTAGAGGGTTTTCGAGCATGAACGGCCTTTTTAAGGTCATACCACAACATCTCAATAGGATTCAGGTCAGGACTTTGGCTAGACCACTCCAAAGTCTTCATTTTGTTTTTCTTCAGCCATTCGGTGGTGGACTTGCTGGTGTGTTTAGGATCATTGTCCTGTTGCAGAACCCAAGTTCGTTTCAGCTTGAGTACACGAACAGATGGTCGGACATTCTCCTTCAGGATCTCTTGGTAGACAGCAGAATTCATAGTTCCTTTTATCATGGCAAGTCTTCCAGGTCCTGAAGCAGCAAAACAGCCCCAGACCATCACACTACCACCACCATATTTTACTGTTGGTATACTGTTCTTTTTATGAAATGCAGTGTTCCTTCTACCGCCAGATATACTTGGACACACACCTTCCACAGAGTTCCAACTTTTGTCTCATCGGTCCACAGACTGTTGTCCCAAAAGTCTTGGGGATCATCAAGATGTGTTGTGGAGAAATTGAGACGAGCTTTGATGTTCTTTTTGCTCAGCAGTGGTTTTCTCCTTGGAACTCTGCCATGCAGGCCATTTTTGCCCAGTCTTTTCCTGATGGTGGAGGCATGAACGCTGACCTTAACTGAGGCAAGTGAGGCCTGCAGTTCTTTGGACGTTGTTGTGGGGTCTTTTGTGACCTCTTGGATGAGTCGTCGCTGTGCTCTTGGGGTAATTTTGGGCGGCCGGCCACTCCTGGGAAGGTTCACCACTGTTCCATGTCTTCGCCATTTGTGGATAATGGCTCTCACTGTGGTTCGCTGGATTCCCAAAGCTTTGGAAATTGCTTTATAACCCAGACTGATAGATCTCAATTACTTTCTTTCTCAATTGTTCCTGAATTTCTTTGGGTCTCGGCATGATGTGTAGCTTTTAAGGATCTTCTGGTGGACCTTACTGTGTCAAGCAGCTCCTATTTAAGTGATGCCTTGATTGTGAACAGGTGTGGCAATAATCAGGCCTGGGTGTGGCTAGAGAAATTGAACTCAGGTGTGGACAACCACAGTTATAGTATGTTTTAACAAGGGGGGCAATCACTTTTTCACACAGGGCCATAATGGTTTGGATTTTTTTTCACCTTTAATAATAAACACCTTCGTTTACAAATTGCATTTTGTGTTTACTTGTGTTGTCCTTGACTATTGTTTAAATTGGTTTGATGTTCCGAAACACTTAAGTGTGACAAACATGCAAAGGAACAGGAAATGAGGAAGGGGGCAAACACTTTTTCACACCACTGTATACATATATATATACAGTTTCAATGCTTGTGCTTCCCATTTTCCCAAGCTCAACAACCTTTTGCCGCACATCACAGCTATATTCCTTGGCCTTACTGATTGTTATGAATGACTAAGGGAGTTTGGCCTATGTATTACCTCATATTTATACCCCTGTCATTGTTGAGCAATTTCCTGTTCCTAGTCACCCAGGTGTACTAAAAATATTTAAAATATCATTGGGAATATACTTCAAATATATTTCATATATGAATTCAAAGGGCTGCCAATAATTGTTGCACACCTATACTCAACATAGACATGTTTTTTGATAAATCTATGTTGTGTTTGTAATTGTTTGATTATTTTTAGTGAATTTGTTTTTAACAAAATATCAAATTTTGTATTAAAAGGGTAAAAATGTTTTTATATTTCATTAACCACATAAGGCATATTCTCTTTTAACCATATAATGTTTTTTTTTTTTTTCAATTTATTGTTCATTATTGTTCATATTAATATGTAAAATTTTACATACTTATTACATACATATACATGTAAAATATATTTAGTTTTAAATTAAATGACCATTCAGTACTTATTGTTTATTATATGATTAAAAAAAAAATAATGATGGAAAATATATTATATAAGTATAGTACATTAATTCTAATTTCAATCAAACAGCCATGCAGTACTTATTTACACAGGTCAAATTTTCATTAAAGATATATGTTAAAAATAAATATTTAAAGATTTCATACAGTTTATATTATTGAAGACCTTTGTGTGGTTTACAGTAAAGTATTGGAACAGTAAGGCAAATGATATTTGTTCACTATATATTGAAGACATTTGGGTTTGAGATCAAAAGATGAATATGACATTTATATTTA